CACGGCCATTTTGCTGAAGGGGGCAGGGTTTCGGGAGGCCAAAAATGCTGTATTCAGTGTATAAGACGCACCCAGATTTTCAGCCTCTCTTTGAGGGAGAAAGGTGCGTCTTATACTCTGAAAAATACAGTACTCCATTAAAGTGATGATGGCTGGACTTGGGTGCACCAGGAAGAATTGAAGGTCCTGGTTTGGGACAGATCAAGCTGGGAAAAAAACCTATATGTGGTTATTAAAAATTGACACCGAGATGGCAAACTGTGAGCGACTGGTGAGAGAAAATTTGGCAATAGCTTACAAGGCTGCATTATAAACAGTCATTATGTCTACTACAATATTCATGAAGTAGCCTTAGGCTACCACTCTCCCTCCCACTAAAGCAGTGGGTCTCATCTTGCGGTGACCGCCAACCGTAAAATTATTTTATGTTTTCTGTATTTTTTCAAAAATATGTGTTTTCCGATGGTCTTAGGTGACCCCTGTGAAAGGGTTGTTCGACACCCCCCCCCCCAAGGGGGTCCCGACGCACAGGTTGAGAACGACTTCTCTAAAGCTATAAGAGAAGTAATTATAAAGGCATGCTTCATGGGATTATTATAAGGAATATTTATAGAGAAAACTCTGGTGAATGCAACTTCTAGCCTCAAACAATTCATTTCAAATGCTTCCTTTTGAACACTCAGGCATATTCCCCCAGCAAGCAGCATCCCCACAACCGATGAGGTGATTTCCCCTCAATCCCCAGAGGAAGTTGATGTGGCCAGTCAGGGACAACTAGAAGGTCACCTCAGCCCTGTAAGCATGCAACAAGAAGAACAAGTGCCACTGGAGACTGGCCAGCAGCCCCTTGGTGAGTCACCACCTTTATACTTTTGGAAGTACCATGTTTCCCTGAAAACACGACATGTCCTGATAATAAGGCCATGCCACATTTTTCTGGTGGGCAAAAATATAAGCCCTCCCCCGCAAATAAGCCCCCTGGACAATCCCCCACCTCCAGCCAGGCAGAGCACCGCTCACCAACCTAGCGGTATCCTGAAGGTGCCAAGCCGCGGGAACCAGGGTGGGGAGGCAAAGGTAATTGCATTGCTTGGCGTCTTTGGGATACCGCTAGGTTGGTGAGCAGCGTTGTGCCCAGCTGAAGAGGGGGGTTGCCGGGCGGATGCTCTCTTGCAAGTGGGCTCCCAAAGAGCCGGGCACAGCCTCATGGGCGAATGGTTGTGTTGCGCTGTCAGAACTGCGCAACACAACAGCCATGAAGCGACCACGCTCACGAGCAGCCACCTGGCAAACCCCCTTTCCAGCCGGGCATAGTGCCATACACTGACCTAGGGGTTTCGTGAGCGCCTGTTCGCTGACGCCTGGCTCTCTCGGCTTGGTGCCTTCGAAATGCCAGTGAAAGGCACTCTGCACGGCTGGAGAGGGTGGTTGCGTGAGCGGCAGTTCCGCTCATGCGCCTCCCAGCCTCACAATGCCCTGGCCCAGCTCTCCCCACCAGAACCAGAGCATCTCCAATGCCACCACTGCCACCATCCCAGCATGGCTTTTTTGGCGGCTTCCAAACCGAGTCTTCCGGTAGTGGCCGCTCTGGGCGTACACTCTATGGTTGTGTGCCAGCTGCCGGCAGAGCGTACAACCATAGAGCATATGCCCAGAGCGACCACTGTTGGAAGACTCAGTTTGGAAGCTGCCGAAAAAGCCATGCTGGGATGGCAGCGGCGGCAGCGGAGGTGCCTGGCTCAGCAGGCAGAGCTGGGCCAGGTCATCGTGAGGCTGGGAGGTGCATGAGCGAGAGTGCAACAGCTGCTCGCGTAACCCCCCCCTCAAGCCGTGCAGAGCGCCTTTCACTGGCATTTGGAAGGCGCCAAGCTGCAGGAGCTGGGCGGCAGTGAACAGGCACTCACGTGACTTGGCGATACCCCTAGGTCAGTGATTGGCACTGTGCGTAGCTGGAAAAGGGGGTTTTCCGGGTGGCTGCTCGTGAGCGTGGTCGCTTCATGGCTGTTGTGTTGCACTGCTGCGACAGCGCAACACAGCCATTCGCCCATGAGGCTGTGCCTGGCTCTTTGGGAGCCCGCTTGCAAGAGAGCAGCCGCCCGCCAACCCCAAAACAATAAACCCTCCCCTCATAATAAGGCCCAAGCCATATTTTGTGGGTAAAAAGAAAATAAGACCCTGTTGTATTTTCGGGGAAACACGGTAGGCTACATTGAATCTGAGAAGAGCCATCACGTGTTCATGTTTTTACAGCAGTTGGCTAGGCTGAAACAAATGACACGTGCCAGAATTATACATGAGGTTCAGTACAGATCTTACTTGGCTTTTTGTTTGTGGCCTTGGCGGCTACATGCCAAACTGTCATGTGGATAGGCTCAGAAATCATGGAACAACTCTAGAGCAAGAAAACCTGGCTACTATCCTGTTTTATCTCCTGCATTCATCTACCCAGGAGTTATATAGGTCAGAAGAAACCTTGAAGTGTTGTTTTGTGAAGAACTAGACAGGGAGTTAGATTTGATCTCTGTGCAGATTCTTTTAAACAAGATGCATGTTTCTGTTCCAGATGCAGACAGACCTTTAGAACTGTCCAGTGTGGAGTTGGAGGCCACTGTAGGGCAGGAGCAAATGGAAGTGGAAACAGCATTAGAGCCTGAAAAAGCCCCCTCCCCACCACCCCCTCCCCCAGTACCACCAGGTGAGTTGCATATCTTGGATAGAGCGCTAAATTCTAGAACACAAAAAGCCTCACCCTACAGTCCAGTATTTTTAGAGATGGTGAGGACAGATTTAGTTCCTTGTTTTGATTCTGTTAGTGGGATTCAAGTTGCTGGCTCTTGGCCTTTAAAGCATGGCCTTCATGGCTTGGAACCAGGTTAATTTGAAAGACCATCGTTTCCTGGTCTCATCTAGCTGACCCACTAGAGTCAGGAGGCAAGGAATGTTGTGGGTCTGGTCTCCTAAGGAGGTACATCTGGCAGGACCCAAAAGAAGAGCCTTCTCCGTGGTGGTTCTCTCCACTGCCATCATCCAGGAACATCATCCCTGCAGAGATTAGACTGGCCCCCAATTTGACCTTCTTTTGCAGGGCGCTGAAGATCTGGTTCTACTACGGGATGCCTGGGGAATCCAGAGTGGGATGGAGCCCATCAAGTGGCTTATCTGATTGATGGTTGTTGCCAAGGGTGTAGGAGTTATTGTTTTTATTGTTTGTATATTGGGGTTTTTATTGTTATGTAAATTGAGAGAAGAGACACGGTGGCTCAAGGGCTAAGACACTGAGCTTGTCGATCAGAAAGTTCAGCTGTTCAGTGGTTCGAATCCCTAGTGCCACATAATGGAGTCAGCTCCTGTTACTTGCCCCAGCTTCTGCCAACCTAGCAGTTTGAAAGCATGTAAAAATGCAAGTAGAAAAATAGGAACCACCTTTGGTGGGAAGGTGACAGTGTTCCATGTTCGGTGTTTAGTCATGCTGGCCACATGACCACAGATGTCTTCAGACAGCACTGATTCTTTGGCTTTGAAACGGAGATGAGCACCGCCCCCTAGAGTTGGGAATGACTAGCACATATATGTGAGGGGAACCTTTACCTTTACCTTGTAAGCTGAGAGTGACTTTGGGCAGCCATGTAAATCTTCTAAATAAATTTTATAAATAAACATAATCTTCTAAATTATGCTTCTTCCCTGTGTGCCTTTGGCTCCTTTCTCCTCGGGGTTCCTTATCTTTCTCTCATCTTTCTTCTTATATCCTTCCATCCTTCAGATCCAGTGTTTTCTGCTCACACGGAGGAGTCCCCACTTGGTGCCAAAGAGCATCCTGCCTTTGAATTGCTGCCCGCAGAGCCAGAGCCCCCAGAGAGTCACCTTCCATCTTCACTCTTGGCCCAGGAAGCAGCATCCTCTCCAAGGAGTCCTCCTCCACTTGGTGTGCTCCAGGGTGGCTCTTCAGAAACAGTCGAAGAAGGAGAGCCCAGCGAAGAGCCCATGGACACAGAGGTGGAAGCCTCGGGTCTTGACAGCGCTGACAGGAATAGAATCCAGCCCAACCAAGAGGAGGAGGTGGAGGAAGAGGAGGAGGAGGAGGTGGAGGAAGAGGCAGAGGGGACAGCAGCACCTAAGATGGAACATGAACAGAGATTCTCCCCGCAGCTGAGTGAAGAGGAGGGATTAGATGAAGGGCATGCCACCGCTGAACCAGAACCCAGTGGGATTCACCTCAGCTTTGCCAATGAGTCCAAGCGCTCTCCTTCCCCCGTAGAGGTGGAATTGCTGGACAGAATGTCTCTTCCAATGGAAGCTTATGGATCTGCCATCCCACTTGAAGGAGGGGCTGTTGGAGAGGAGGAACTAGGGCCAGCATCCCCGTCCCCAAGGCCTCACCACCTAGTGAAGTCAGATATTGTGAATGAGATCTCTAACTTGAGTCAGGGGGACGCCAGCGCCAGCAGCTTCCCAGGCTCAGAGCTCCCCTTTGCCTCCCCGTACCATGAAGGCGGAGGCTCGCTTTCCCTAGAGATGGGTGGCTTAACCTCCACAGACGTCAGTCTGCAGAGGGAAGACGGAGCCTCTTTGCCTCTGGGGGAAATGGAGGACTCTCTGCTATTTGATGTAAAAGGCGAATGTGAGAAGGGACGGCGGCGTAGCTCCCCAGCCCGCTCTCGTATCAAGCAGGTAAGCGGATGCCTTGGGCCGGCTGATTTTGAATGTTGTTTGCTGTCTCCTTCATACACTATTGAAATCCCCCCTCCCCACCTGCATGTAGGGGAGTCCTGGAGGAAGGGTGGTGAAATAGAGGATGTCTATAACTCCCCTATATCTCCAGCCATTATTCTCCCTCCCTTTTTTTTTCTTTTGGTCATAGGGTCGCAGCAGCAGTTTTCCTGGGAGGAGACGGCCTCGGGGAGGGTCTCACACGGGCCGAGGGCGGGGCCGATCACGTTTGAAATCCACCACTTCTTCCATCGAGACACTGGCGGTAGGGGCAGCTTTTAGAAGGCAGGACAATATTTGGGACTGGGATCGGATGGGATGAGTGGGATCCAGTCTAAGACACCTTACAGTTCCCAGAAATGGGAGATTAGCTAATACAGAGAGCAAGCACGGGCTTACAACCAAAATTGAGCCCAAGCTTTCTGTTATGAAGTGAGACGGTTGTTAAGGGAGATTTGCCCCGTTTTACGACTTTTCTTGCCACGGTTGTTAAGCGAATCACTTCAGTTGTTAGTAACACGGTTGGTAAGTGAATCTGGCTTCCCCCATTGACTTTGTTTGTCAGAAGTTTGCCAAAGGTGATCGCATGAGCCCGGGGACACTGCAACCATCACAAATATTGAACCAGTTGCCAAGCATCCAAATTTTGGTCATGTGACCATGGGGATGCTGTAACTGTTCTGAGTATGAAAAACGGGCGTAAGTCACCTTTTTCAGTGCCATCGTATCTTCAAACAATCACAAAATGAAAGGGTTATAAGTCAAAGACTAGCTGTAAGGGCCTCCATTTTAATTCTTTGTGTGGCTCGGATGGAGAGGCAGGTCGCGAAGCATTATCGATCTGCCGACAGTTGGCTGGTCCTGTAGCCCTTCCTGCAATGACTGGAGCCAGTGGTCTGAGTTTTCTCATCTCCCTTCCCGATTTTAAATAGGTTTTCTAGGGGATTCTTCCTCGGTTGGCTGGTTGTCTTCTAGCTATGATAGGGTTTCTCCTCTTTTGGAGGAGTGCATTGTAAGGAGATGGAGAAGCTCTACTTGTTGAAATTGCCTTCCTCTTGTGCTCTTTAAAGGGTAGGCTTGGGAACAGGGACATCCTACCCAGGCATCTTGCACTGTGAGAGAAGAAGACAGATAGTTTGAGTAGTTGGTCGGCCTCCTCTTCTGTAGTATGGACAGGACTCTCTGGTGCATCACGAGCAGGCTGAAGCTACCTGTCCCGTGTGCCCTCAGCTATGAGTGCTTACTAAAGTAGCAGCACATAGGTTCTTCCTGAGTCTTGGGTCATTCCTAAGTGCCCCCATTCAAATCCAGGGGTGGGGGTGGGGAAGGCCTGCCAAAGGACCAGCTCTGGCAGCAAACACAGCAGATCATGAATAAGAGAAAGAAAGCCTCTCGCTTCAGCAGCCATCTTGAGGAGGAGTCAGTTGAAGGCCACAGCAGGTTCCATGCGGCATGCCTAGGGCCACATTCCTGAAATACAATACATTTTGGGAGCAAGAAATAAAATGGGTACTTCAAACCCCATTTTAATCAGTTCCACTATGGACAAAAAAAAAAAGAAACCCTGAAAAAATTGCCCCCCCCTTCCTGTTCTGGAAATGGGATGCAGGCCACACTTTTGGCACACCAGTTCTAAATGCTTTTCAATCCTTACTTTGTGCTTCTGCACTTTCTTCTACAAGCTGGCCGATATTGACAGCTCCCCAAGCAAAGAGGAGGAAGATGATGATGACGACACAATGCAAAACACAGTGGTGCTCTTCTCCAACACAGACAAGTTTGTGCTAATGCAGGTGGGTCGGCTAACTTCAGTTGGTTTCCGATTGCATTAATTACCTCAGTGGAAGGAAAGATTTACCCAGATTGATTTCTTTCGTTTGTGTGAGTGGGATGCATAAGAGAGCAATTTTTAAAAACTATAAACCTTATACCATGCAAAGCTCCATAACATGCTCACTGCTTTAAAGAGGGAAGATGCTGCCTTGCAGGATGAGGCTCCGTCTGTTTCATATAAGGCATCCTGTAGCTGACTGATAACACCCAATTGAAGTCAGTATTGTTCTTTTTAAACTTAGATTGCACATAGATCTGATAGCCTTCAAAGTTATTGAGACATATTCAGCTTGTCACTATATAATTGTGTCTATGTTCCATTCTTGGAGCGATCTGCTTTGTTAGGAAACAAGCTTTTGCATTCTAGTGGCAAAGGGCAGATTCCATTTAGTTTTCCAGTTAGGATAATGTTATACACTTGGATATTATGATTTAACCAGTTAAAAGCCAGAATGCAATGTAGTATTTGTTTTTTATGGCCAACTATCAGTGTGTTCTATGGGAAGGGGTGATAATAACATACATACCCTGTTTCCCCCCAAATAAGACCTCCCCGGATAATAAGCCCAATCAGGTTTTTGAGCCCTCCTCTGAAAATAAGCCCTACCCCAAAATATTGCAACACAGCAGCAGCCATGAGGTGATCATGCTCCTGCACCTCAAAAATAATAAGACCTCCCCAAAAAGAAGGCCAAGCGCTTATTTCAGGGGTCAAAAGAAAATAAGACCCTGTCTTATTTTCAGGGAAACACAGTAAGTCTAAGTGCTATTGCTATTGCTATTGCTATTGCTATT